TTTTTTTATATTTTCTAATTTGGTGTCTTCAAACTAAAAACAAAAGCACCAAAAACGCACCAAGCACCAAACTCAAAAATTTTCGCGTTTTGAATACCCACTAAATTTGGCGCGAAAAGCATCCAGTTGGCAACAGTGAATGTAAACAAAAGTATTTTATGACGTCAGCGATTGGGTGGATGCTGTCAAATTGACGAAGAGAGGGTTAGCGGTCCGCGAATGGCGCGACCTTTATTTTCTGGATCGTGATGTATATATATAAAGTCCATAAAATATACCAATAAAAATTTGGTGCTTTTTCAAATTCAAAACTTGGCAATACTGCCTTTTGTTCGATGCTTCCTCTTTTTCTTCTCGAGTTCGTCTTGCTCTCTCATTCTGGTATTTTTTGACGTCACGGCCAGTTGCTCTCAACTCGATTGGCGCAATCTTGTATTCTATCATTCTTGGATGAGGGCAGAGCTAGAGCGCACGCTGCAAGGACCTCAGCAGTAGCAGCGACATCAGAATTAGCAGTGCAAATAGCCTTTGAGAGATTCTCACTCTTCGAAGTAGTGTCATTAGCGCTCAAGTTAACACATTGTTGTCAACAATTGCTTTAACATCATTGGCAAGTGATGAAAGTGCCAAAGCTAGCTCATCAAGACGAAGCAATTTTTTCAAAGAGCGAACCTCAGCCTGCAGAGATACTGTTTGCTTAACAAGTGATTTGTTATCTTCGCGCAGAGAGATTACAGCAGCAGCAATACGAGCGTTTTCCTCTCTAAGAGCGGTTATCTCGTTAAGCACCTATTGTGAGGTAGTCATTTGCTTTACTTGGTTTGTTTCGTTGTCACGAGCAGGTGGAGGAGGAGAGCGGATTGAAGTACGCCTCTTTTCGGAGCAGGATTTGCAGAAGAACGGCGTCAAAGAAGAAAGCAAAAACTCAAGGTGTGCCGGCAACATACCCACACATTCCAAATGAAAAATCGCTTTACATTTTGCACACTGCACCTTCTGCTCAGCACGATCAACTTTTTGACCACAGTTGCACGGCATGTTAAAGATTAAGTTTACGCATGCACTTGCTCATTTCGCAAAAATGTATTTTCAAACGATTTTACTTAAACCACGTATCTATTCAAATGTGAAAAAAAAATTTCATATATATTTACTATAAGTTTACTGATTAAAAATGTTCTTTCCGAACGATTTTTCTTTCATTCAATCACACGAATCGTTTGCAGTGCGTTTTTATTTTTTTTTCGCGACCGACTGTGACAGTAATCAAGTAGACAGAATGTTGCTGTTTTGGTCTTTATTCAGTGACTTCTACTTTACAACTCCACAATTTCATACTTAAAACTAAACTTATAGCTATGCTAAGAGAGCCAAAAGTGTTACATTACTGTTAATCTTATGTTAATTAACAGTGGCTCGAAGAACTACTCCTGTAATACATAACTCCTCCACCCATGGACGTTTGCGTCTCTGCAAGCTTTCACAGGATATTTCAAATAAAACAAAACTTGACTAGATAATATAACTATGAACATAAGTAGCAATACAAATTAAGAATTAGTGAATTTTAGGGTTAAAGCAAATGAAGTAAAATTGGTTTGTATACATAGGTAATTAATTTGAAGCAGGGTACGAAAATAAACTATATTGTACGTTACTATTTCGTTTCGTTTATTACTTCAACAGTTCGGTACAATACGAAAACAAAACGGCTGAGTTCACTTTGGCGATAGTTCACTACAGTAGTTTAGTAGTTACAGACCAAACAACAAACGAAATGAATCGTGCAGAGAAAAATATATGTATGTATGTATACATATGAAATAACTTAACACAAAACGAATGGCTGCAATGAATAAAAAAATAAAAATGTTTTTTAATTGAATTGGATATGAAAATTTACAGAAAAAAATATTTTTGACGTAATTGAAACGTTTGTGATATCACCCTATGGTACAATTGTCATAAACGAAAAGCAAACGTTTCTCGTTGGGGAAAATTACAGTGAATCTTACAATGTGTTTCTGACTATGTACAAAACTGTACAAAACCACAAATGATATGATGATCGATGAGCAAATGGGAATTGTTTTGTTCAGTATATTTTCGTAATCTGATTTGAAGTACATAAAAACTTGAAAAATTATTAATTAAATTTGAAATACGTACATATGTATATTGAAACTTAGGAAAAAAATTAAAATGTGTTATAATTCATTTAGTGTTTTGAAATTTATATTTTCTTTTTAACTGTGATTTATCATATTTTGTTTTCTGTTTTTTGGATGTATCAAAGACGTAATTACCTTCCTTCTCAAAATTTTCAAGTTGTTTGTATTTTGGCTTACTTTTTGGAATTTGCCTGTTTTTAACTATATTATCTTTTTGGTCAATTATTTGAGCTCTATCACGATTAAGTTTATTTATTCGCTTAATCTTATCTTCCTCGTACTTTTTACTCAAGTTATCTATATAATCGTTGTCATAATTTTTTATTATCAAATCGATAGGTCGTTTCCTTGTGGTAGTGTGAATTGTATTATTATATATATTAAATATATTAAAAAGTTTTTCATCTAATTCCAGATTTTTGTTCTCCTTATCAACCTCCATAATCCTCAAATGCTCATTTAATGTACTATGCAATCTTTCTATATCGGAGTTGCCAGTTTTTAAAAATGGTGTAGTTTTGTGAAATTCAATACTACTTTCTTTTAGGAACAAAGCAGCAATTTTGTTCATTTTACCTAGGAACTGTATGCGCTGTTTTAAAGCATCTAAAATAGCCACCCAATTTCTGTCATTTATTTTATGAAATGTTGCAAATTTCGAAAATTTATCTATTGTGGTCAAAAACATACGATTTCTGTTAGGGTACCAAATATCAATATGAACAATATCATTAAAGTCAGTTGGTGTTGTAGTTATTTGGTATGGTACTTTTAAAGGTTTTCTATCCTGTTTGGCGAGTTGACATATTTCACAATTTTTAATTACTGAAGTTATCATCCTGTAAAGTTTCGGATAAAAATACCTATTTCTTAATTCGTACAAAACTTCTTGAATTCCCCTATGATTGTTACGGCAATGTTCGTTTTCAATTAAAGTCAAAATCTCATTTTTATCTATTATCTCTGTCAACTGTATAACTGATCGGTACAAAATTAGGTTACTTTTATGAAAATTTTTTAAGTAAATGTCCGGAAACTTTAAGAAAAGATCATCGTCCTCGCAATATATGCACATTATGCCTTTACTCAATAGTACCCTACCCATAATCTCAAGCAAGTTAGAATTTCTATTTATTATAATACGATTTTGACACTTTTTATTAACAATTTTTGTAAACAATTTTTCATTTTCCCCATAGCTTAAAAATATTTGATTTTTATAGTAATTAACTGACTTTTCGGTTATAAATATATAATTTAAATTGTCCTCAGCAGCGCTATGAACAGTGGCAGCTGCAGAGCAATGGTCTATATCCTCCTCGTTATTTAATATATCTTTTGCTTCATTATTAAAAATTTCTACTTTTTTGTCATTTCCTTCTTCTATTAAATATCTGCTTAATGCGTCCGCAACCTTATTATCTTTTCCCTTAATGTAACAAATATCAAAGTTATATTCCTTAAGAAGAATCTTCCATCTCTGCAATTTCATGTTTGGTTCTCTTATATTATGTAGCCATGTCAACGGCTTATGGTCTGTCTGTATTAAAAATTTTCTCCCATACAAATACGTTCGAAAATATTTTACTGCCCAAACAATAGAAAGAAGTTCTTTTTCAATAGTTGAGTACCTTATTTCATGGTCAGATAAAGTCCGTGAAGAGTAGCAAATTGGGTGATTTTTCTGACTAAATACAGCACCTATAGCAAATTGAGAGGCATCCGTGGTTAAAATAAATTTTTCGTTAAAATCTGGTGGCTGTAAAACAGGATGATTTGTTAAAATTTTCTTTAAGATTTCAAATGAATTTATGTAATCTTTGTCTTTAATATCAAGAACTGCATTTTGTTTCAAATATTTTACCATTGGAAAAACCACCTTCGCATAATCGCGAATAATTTTCCGATAATAACCGGTGATTCCCAAAAATTGTTTTATTTCTTTCTCATTTTCAGGTAATATTATTGAGTTTATTGCTTCTATTTTTGCAGGATCTGGTTTAATACCTTCTGTTGAGATAATATGTCCTAAAAATTTTGTAGATATTGCAGCGAAATGACACTTATCGAATGGGATCCTTAAATTTGATTTGCGTAACTGATTTAAAATTTTTTGGATCGAATCGATATGTTCCTGAAAGCTAGTCGAGAAGATCAAAATATCATCTAAGTAGACGACACATATCCTGTTTATGTATTCTCTTAATACATAATTTATAAGCCTTTGAAACGTTGCAGGGGCTGTTTTTAAACCAAAGGGCATTCGATTAAATTC